AAAACCATGTGAATAAAGGGCCACCGTCTATAGAAATTCTTGAACGACCCTATTAATTTATTTAATTATTAACATGTTATGTTGCACTAGTTTTGTGAAGGAGGACAGACACACTTTAGGTGCTAAAAACACTCCTAACATATAGTAAATAATTTAAAGTGTCAATGAAATGTTAAGTACAGTGCACTCTTACTACCTCTAACCCATTTAATCCAAACCAATTTTGTTTTTCTACTAAATGTTTCAGCCAAAAAACAAAAAAACTATCCTAGATTATTTCTTAAAAATGTGATTCTGTAAAATAAATGTACATACTACACATTTTACATGAACATATGAAATGCAATACTAAATACGGCGCAAAAATATTTTTAAATGTATTTTTCTGTGATCTTTTTGACTTCGTTTTCGTTATAAATGTTAATTAAAACAGTAAATTCATCAGAATCATATCTTACTAGGCAGAACTAGTTCGAACAAAGCCTCTTCGTTAATTCTAGTTTTAACTACAGAATGTCCGAAAAGTTACTGTGCAATGTAGAAGGTTTAAGTTTTAATAAAAGTAAAGTTTTACATGTAGTATTGCCGTTTGTCCTATGGCAAGTGCCGGAAATTCCCTCCAAAATCTGTGGAGTGAAGTCCAGAGATAGCGGGGCAGAAGTCTTTCAAAAACTGTAATTGAAAAACCGGAACATCTTTGAGCGAGTGGCGACGACATCTACTGCAAAGTGGAAATGTGGAGTGTAAGATTTATGTAAATTAAATAAATCGGAAGGATGAGATTAATCTTTCTATAGCATGGCAGGCCCTCATAAACAACGATCTATAAATATCAACATCAGCGCACGAATGCGCATGACCGTCTTAATGATCGTTCGTTATGCTATTGACTAGTTGAATTTTTAGGTTATTGTGCATTAAGTAGTGTAGAATTAATAAAGAAATTAATAATTGCAGCAATTATTAATTTCTTTGATATTGTGAGGACGTGTTCTTGAGATTGGTGAATGAAAAAGTTGATCACTAAAGGTAAACCTCTGTGAAATATTTGACCATCAACAATAAAAACACTTTAAGTTGCAGTCTTTCTTTTATTTAAACCTCTAAAGTTTCGTTCATTAAAAATATTAATGTTCAATTTTCCTGAGGAAGGTCAATAAAGTAAACCAAAAACGTTAGAAGTTTAAATAAATAAAAAATTGCATCTTAAAAAAGTTTTCGTTGTTGATTGATTTAAGTGCAGGTAAAGAAGAAATATTTGACATTACTGAAAGTGTTCGTGTATGGTAAGCATAGGATGCGAAGATCAAGATAGAATGAAATGTCGAGGAACGACTGAAATGATAAATTTTTTCATTATTGCGTGAAACATTCTAACAAAAGAAAAGAAGAAAGGTTTAGTTTTCAAACCCATTCTATGCTCACAAATGAATTGCCACTATCTGTTAGACCCTATTGATATGCAAGCTCAGGTTGACTGGTTTCAAGTTCATTACAGTTTACTAGAATCATTTAACCAAGTTTATCATACTGCAAGTACTCCAAAGCAAGAAAACTGAAGAGGGGATGTTTCAGTTAACTGATATTGTTTTAACAATTGGCATTCCCTTTTATTTTGCATTCTGATAAAAGAAGCGAGTTCGTCAACTCTAACAGAAAACTTTCATACCAGATTTAAATATCATATGTAGAGAACCACGATGTAATCAAACCCTGAGTTTGACTGCATTGTGGAAGGACCATACCACACTACAAAACAGACAAATGGTCTCTCCACTTTGTGGAATTTATGAAAAACAGAACCCTTTAATTGGGGATTAAACAATCGCCGTACAAAGTCAAGTTTAGCACCGAGTCAAGAGTTGGACTTACATCAGCAGTACTGTCCGAAGTTATTAATTAAAAAACATCCGGGATGAGGATAAACATCAAAAAAATCAAGAAGCAGAGCAATAAAGAACTGAAAATGATAAAAAGAAAAGGGAAGCCATAGCTGGTTCATTATCAAATATCTCTCTCATTCATTTGGAATGAAAATAATTTTGGATGCAACACATCATCCAACTGATATAGAGATAATTTTATTCTAGCCATTCTGGATTTGGATGTCACAAAGACACTTTCAAAACCTAATGAGAGTTGTGCTGGAAAGGTTTTGAAAAATCACACACATAACCACCATTAATCTAAAAAAATTGGGTGGATCAGTAAATAACCAGCCAAAAGCAACAGCATGGCTGATTGCCCCAACTAGTTATTTATTGATCCACCGTTATAATTAGTTCAGATTAATAAGAATGTACTGTATTATCCTAATATCGGATACTGAAAATGTTAAAAAGAAACTGTTTAATTCACCATCAGCGCATGCTGTTAAAATATATACAATTACATAACACAGCATGAAAAAAAAAAGTCTAAAAAAATTAGATCTCTCATGTTTTTGGGTTATTTAAAAAATAATTAAAGCCATTTTGGAAAAGCTTATGTTATTTGCAATTCTATCGCTTCCGATGGAAGATACTGGCACAAACAACATACAGCTAAGTACCGTAGCAGTCGTAACTATTTTTAAATCTGGAAAATTTATCACAAGTTCTCAAAGTTAATTGATTTTAATAAATTCTACGCGCGCTGCATTCGTAACACATTCTGTCTTGATAGCTAGAAGACTAATCAAATGTATAAATTTAACACAGAAATATTCGTTCGAGAATCAATTCAAGTTTCCTCAATCATAAATTAATTAAAAATTTACAATTTATTTATCAGTAATCACTGTTTAGAACGCCCTAAAGCAATGCATAAATTGTGACGTTACGTCAACTCTAAAACGCCAACTTGTTATTTTCGTACCAAATTTATGCTAATTTGATATCGTTCAAAAAAAAAACAAAAGAAAAAAAACATTTGCTTTTATAATTGTTTTAAACTAAATAATAATTAAGAGTCTTGCATAACATCTGATTAAAAAATGAGAACAGGACACAAACACAAGTGACTTTTGTAAAATTTAGAATAAATTAAAATCTGCAGTTGTACTTGGAAATCGAGGTCTCTCCATAAAACAACAAACTGGTATTTTATGAGGCCTTTACGAAGGTTCGTAACTTATAAATTTTTGGCTCGCGTATTTCTTAACTCTCTTGCAATGCAGAAGTCAGACAATCTTTACGTCGTTGATTAGAACTTAATTTATATAAGAAAACAATTTAAAAAAATAAATGTATGTGATAGAAAAATTCATTTAAAATTCATTTTTTTTTTAGTACCAATTACGAAAAATAAATTAAGTAAAATAATAAATATAAATAAGAAAGAAAATTTGATATCTTACAGGAAAGAGGAGTTATTTACAAATTAAAATGTACATGTCAAGAATCAAAAATATATATAGGAGAAGCAGGAAGAAAACTGGAAAAAAGAATTAAAGAACGTTTAGCAGGAATTATGTTGAAATATGTAAATTCACCATGGTCGACACAAATTTACATATTCAACACACGAGTAAATTGTATCTCGATACTCTTCTGTACTAGAGAGTTCATGTTATTATTATTATTTATTCCTACCACTGAAAAGGAACTGTTAATCGATACAGTTCAAAATGCATACGGTGTAAGTACATCTAGATTGCACCCATTCCAATTGCGGGGCCTCAATAGAGTCCCATATTGTTATTTTTCATCACTACCTCCCCGTGCCGGGAGTGGGTAATTTGCGCGCCTGCTGCCTTCCTTGGATGTGGTAGCCATTTCTCAGGCTCCCTCTCCGGAATCGAATCCTGATTCCCCGTTACCCGTAACGACCACGGTAGGTGCATAACCTACTGTCGAAAGTTGATAATACACTTGAAAGATACGTCGCTGGTGCTAGACCGTGCGATCAGCTGATGAGATCCAACTACGAGCTTTTTAACCACAACTTTAATATATGCTATTAGAGCTGGAATTACATCTCTTTTTTTTTTAAATAAAAGGACTGTTGAAAAGATAAGAGTAATTTTTATTATATTCCGAACATGCTTCGGTGAATCCAAAGAAGTTATTTATTGCAAAAAATTAGATTTTCGGAATATTTGTTTAAGCGAAGATTAAAAAAAAAAAAAAATTCGCATTTTTAAGAACTCAATAAGTGACAAAAATTCAATAAGCAAAAGAAATATAAAAATACGTCAAACAATCTGCAGTATTACTGGGCTANTTGTTATTATCATTTACAATTTTTATAAAACCTGTCTGTACCCTCAAAATTACTTTTTCTGTCATTTTATAATAATCAATAATATAAAAAGTTTTTAAAATAAAATCTCTTAACAGATGGCACCACACACAATTTTAATTTTTTTGCCAGGAGAGTCTCACAACTTGTTGCTAGAATGTTTTTTTATTTTTTTTATTGTATAAATTTCAATTTATCTTAATTTTTTATTATGCTTTTATATCCAGTTAAGTATATCCTTTTCTCTCAATCAATTTTTTAAAATTTATTCTAATAATAATAATAATATTTTCAAGTTCACTTCTTTAAAAATAATCGCCCGAAGTCTTCGGCTCGTGTCGATCGCTTTCTAGATAATTATTCCCATTACACGAGCGCAAACTTAAAAAAATATGCCGTCGCGTTTTCTTAGAAACTCTAAAATTGGCTAACTGCACTGTATGCTTTGCCAGAATCTAATGAAAAGGTATCGTATCTAGCCTTTCTCCACGATCAACAAGCAGCAATTTCGAGAGAAAGTTGCCCATCGTGTTCAATGCTACCGAAAGGACACAAGGTCGTCGTCGAGAGTCAATTTTTTTTTTAATTCGGCAACTTGACAAACAAACTGCTTTAAAGAAACATTCAAGAAAAATCAGAAAATTGTCAAGAGTATACAGTCATTAAAAAATAATAATTAAAACTGCAAGACTATGCCAAGAATTTTTTTCTATTATCTCAGTTTTCTGAATGACAGGCAAGGTTACTTTATACTAGATATCTAATTACAGGGCCTTACAAATTAAAATTTTAAATTTAATAACACGTAACTGAAGAAATTCTCAATGACGACTGAACGCGTGACTCACCTGTTGTTCGGAAACTCTCAGCTCGCCAAATACTAATTTCTGAATGAATTTTCCTATTAATATCAGGCAACAGTAAGCCATGTTGATCAAGGCCTAGAAAAATAAGAGAAAATCGTCAAATAAACAGTCGAAAATTTATAAAACTTACAAATTTAACACGTTAAAATTTTTCGCTCGGCAAAATTTCCGATTTGCTCGAACCAAAATACCTTCTCTGGATTACAAATTATATTTCGTGGAGTGTAATGTTTTATTTACTTTTTACTCTCCATTCTGCAGGCAATAAGGGAGCATTTACTGTGTCCTATGTTTGGCCGGGTCTGCGTTTGGATGGCCAAACGACGAGAGAAGGGATACGACGGGTTCCTTTCTCGTTAGTTTTGAAAGACCCCCCCCAAACAGGCAATGGTAATCATAGAATTATTATTTAAAAACCTTCAAAACATAAAGGCATTTACTTAACATTTAATTAATGAATAAAGATAAAGTTTTTATTTTAAAAAATTTGGAGGAGGAAGTTTTAAAGAAAATGTAAAAACAACTTATGCTTGCAAATGAGCAAAAATCAATAAACCATTAAAAGATTATTATAGAAAAAAAATCTTGTTAATTTTCCTAGAAATTTAATACAATAGCTTCAGAATAAAAGGAAAGTTTTGCTAACTTTCAAGCATGATAATCTTTCAATTTGACTATCGTATAATTTTATAATTTGCGTAAAATATACTATCAGAATATACACAGATATTTTCCTTTATATTAAAAATACCACATGTCGGAGTAAAAAATATATTGCTCCTTCATTGGGCTGCAATCTTCAAATTGCAGACCTACGAATCCCACCAGTGTCCGTCCGTCATTCTTTAATCTCGAGAACAGAGTTAGATAGATGAAAATCCAGACCAAATACGGAAAGTTTAGTGACCAGAGGACCACTTAACTATGTATGAACTTCTGGTCTGAACCGGAAGTCGTGTGGTTTTTTAAAATTAAGATTTAATTAAAAATTGCAGCCCAACATTATTGTGGCATTGTCACAATGATTCAATTATTATTATTATTATTAATTTTATACAAATTGAGGCATGTAATTTTTAATTATGTACTAACCAAAACTATTTTTACACATACAAGATTACCTTCCTCATTCAACATTTTTTATTCACATTTGATTGATAATTACACAGTACAGACTAAAGGATAAACTTCGTATTGCTCAAAAAATGCAATCTGGTAACAAATGTAGGACAGGAAAAATGACGAAAACTAATCTGACTTTTGTTTTTGTTACTCGATAATTTCACACGGCCTTGGGAATTCACTTCCAAGGATATGATATTGAATACGATAAATTCTCGGCAAGTTGAACTTCCTTAACTGGAAATTCTCGCCGACTAACTATATTTTTCACATAGAAACACAGAATTCGACAAGTCTGTAGGAATTAGTAAAATGTGACTTCGAAACTACTTAACTTGAAATTTAAGATCCGGAGACTATTCTATGTCTAATTTTGTATCCTATCGTTTGTTTTTGAAGGGATGGGCAATATTATCGCAAAGTTGAAGATTGACATTGTATAGAATTACACCTCCCAACTGCACGATAAAATTCAAAATTTTAACATTTTGCATAAGACAGCAAAAGATGCTTTCGAGACAGTTGACTGGATCGAAAACAATGTCGAGCAAGAAGCGACGAATCGTTGACATCAAATCTGTATAACTTTTTCCATTAATAACGAAAATATTTTATTTTGTACAAACATTTTTCTGTGGGGGTTCGAAATATTTTATTCACTGTTATAATTTGTTTTCGACTTTAAATTTAAACTAAACTAAACTATTCCTGTTCACAACATCCATCACAACACTTCCGTGCGTGACATATGCTAGTAGTAAGAATTGCCGTTGAAGAAAGAAAAATATCTTCCCAAATTTGGACACTTACGGGATGTAACATTGAATAAGACTTACTGATAAAAATGAGAGAAAAGATGCAGTATGAAGGAACCTAGAAGAGCAGGGTGGATCCAAGAAATTGGGGCTTTGATCAACTGTTGATCATCGGTCACCCATAATCTATCCTCCATCCAATTGTCAAGTCACGTGAACTTAGTAATAGAATTCAAACTATGCGGAACTTTGTTCTTTTGACTATCCATCACTGACAGCCACCAATCCTACTCTAAACAATATCCATTGTTCTGTCCATCTGATCATTATCAGAAGACTCAGACAACCTATCACTAGGCCTATGATCTTTGTATGATATTTGATTTTAAATCAGGTATTATGCAAATACTCTCTCTCTCAATCAAAAAACTTGTATTTGCCATGTTATGTTTCCAGATTTACACCAGTTAAAGACAACAATTGGCTAATAATTCAGTATTCTTTATCAATGTATTAAGAAGGTTCCAGCAGAGTACATTCTTTATACATAATTAGCATAGTACGTACCAAGATATTTAGTAACGATGTTTTGTGTCCGGGAAGAACAAGGATTATACGGACTTCAAATTCTTGAATATCCCGTATATAGCTGTCCAGGAAAAAGCAAGACACTTCCAGCTGTAAGCCAGAAATGATTAATATTTGATTTGTCCTTGAAACATGTTAATCAACGTAGCTAAACTCAGCCGAACAGGAAATTATAGTCTTAAAAGATTATAATTGAAAGGGCACGTCAGATAGTATGAGAGGGATACCTGGCATAAAAACACTACAGAATGCCAGAATTTCATCATTTGAGCACATAGTTCCCTTGTCTTCAATGGAGGCACCTGAATATCTTTCAAAGAAAAAAAGAAATGGTTATTGACTTTCTCTGAATGAAAGGCCAACTTTTTGATAGTTTACTGCATTTCCTTGTACAGTCTTCAAATGCATAAAGAACAGAAAGGCAAACTTTCATTTTTTATGTTACATAGATTAAGCACAAAACAAATAGTCTAATTTTGACCTCTACGGTTGTCACTTTAGCAACTTTAAACTGTACCATTAGATTCCTCATAGCCACTACCCATCCCTTTGAAACTAGTCCCTTGCATTGACCAAACTTTGGTATTGGTGACGGCTTTTACAATCACTAAAAATGCTTAGGAAATCAGTCTTTGAAACTGAAGAAAGATGTCGATAAGGGTTCTCCACTTTCCTCGAGAGAAAGTTCCCAAATACACAAAAACAGGAGTTGAAATTGACGAGAACAATGACTCGAAATCAGACTTCCAGTTTAGTCTTTGAACAAATTAATCCCAAACAAACCAAGACAATCATTCCGAAGATCTCTTATTTTGGAGACATCGTATAACTAGATTCTCTAGATACGACAGCTCGAAAACATAGAAAGTAATAAAAGATAAAGTAACAAGATGAAATGACAACAACATTGATTTGTAACTAAGTGCTGTAACAATTTAATCTCGCACTGCCCACTTAACTAAGTTTTATTAGTATTTATTGCTTTGTGTGTGCATGCATTTGGCATTCGACTGAGCTAGCCTAAAGATGGTATCAGTCAATGTTTAAAATTCTGGCAAGTTTTTCTAGCCATAAAAGAAACAAATGCCGATAGACAACTGTTTTCTGTTACTTATTAGCAAATTTTTGGTGTAGACTGCATAAATACTTTAATGTATTGAATTTCTCGTCCGTAGTTGCTTCCCAATTAACCAAGTATAAAAAAAGGAAAACAATAAATGACACAGAAAATAAGTATTTGACCTCTGAATATATGTATTTTTATTTAATAAAATGCACGTATCCTTAATAAATTATTCATATCAAATTCTGAATAATTAGAAACAACAATTGTGGTTCGCGTATTCACGTAAGAACCCGTCAAAAGAATTAAGCCAAACGGCAAGGTGAATTACCGATGAACAAAACGTCAAATCGTGTAAATCTGGATTTATTGTGTGATCCTAGAAAATAACTTATTAATTTTTAATTTCAATGACAGCTGGTAGATATTTGAAAATAGAAGAAACTTAGCACAATGTTGCAAATGGACTGGTTAATTTGGGAAACCACCATTTTAATAGCAAACGTTTTTGGCCGTTATCTTTCACCACCTTCGGCTCACAAATGCATAACGAGTGAAACAAACAGGTTTAAAATAAGAACTGTAGAAATAACACTCAAAAAAACTGAAATAATCTGGCAAAATCTTAACAAAAAACTGACATTTTCAACTAGAGTTATCAAATGTCCTAAAATGAAAACAACAATTCTGACGTAAAAACAATTAAAACGTATGTCTGATTAAACAAAGCAGTGAATGTCACTGAAGGCATTTACAAGTGAGAAAAAACATTCACGGGACTTTAAAATAAGATCTCCAAGCCTACGAGAGGATGTCGGTGCCCTTAAAGTAGCTGAAAATGTTAGGTTTCCATTAAAATTTTTCTGGATTATTTTGGTTTTTTGTGTGTGTTATTTACTGTAACATCCAATTACTACTTCTGCGTACAAAACTGTACAATTTTTTAGTTGATAAACTTGCATTCTTGTACCTTTCAAAATGCAAAACTGTAAAATTCTGTACAAATAACTAATTTCTTGTATTTATTTTTATGTGACATACAACTACTTTCAATAATTTCAACATATACGAGTAGCAAAGTTGCAATACTTCAGAAAGATATCAAAACTGGTTCAGAAAAGTATCTACTAAAAAAAAAAAATCAAATAATACAAAGTAAAAACTATAAAAAGACCATTCTGTATTTCTCCTAGTCTGCTCAAAAGTTTTCTTCTATTCCGAAATCCATATTTATCAACCATCTAGAAGACACCCCAATCTGTAGAAGGCTGGTATTGTTAAGCAAGTGGGATAGAGGAATATTTTTATATACCCTACTAATACAAGGAGCGATGTAATTGTACATGCAAAGAAGAGAAACTAATAAATACATGCTTAGAACAGTATGCAGACATATTAACTTAAAAAAATAATAATTGAAATTAATAAATATTTTAAACCATATTTATATAACAAGTTCACAGACCAGTTTCTGAACTTGCAATTCTTGTATTTAGTTCAGTGTTTTCTGAACAAGTGCTAAATTGAGTTACCGACAATATTATACT